GGCGACGGAGTGAGACTTCAACTCAAAAAAAAAAAGAAAAAGAAAAAAAGAAACAACAAGCACTAAAAGCCATCAGAATGAAAACCATTACATAGACTTTCATGTCCTCATAAAACATCATCCCCTGTATGGCAGTGTCCATGTTATAAAAAGAAGCCCCATCCAGCACTTCCTTAGGCCTGTGCTGTTGACACATGCCACTACACTTAAACCATTAAATGTTCCTAAAGGATTGCAACTCAAGTAAAATATTCTCTTGAATCCTTAAGCATCAGAGAGAAAAAAAGAAACAGACACATTTCACTGTTGTAATCAGTAAAAGGCTGGTGTGAATAAGACTTGACAGTGGAGGCTTCTGGTCACTATCAGAGGTAGAGTCAGAAAACAAAACGGCACATTTTGCACCAGTTGAAGTCTGAAATGACTAGTTCTCACTTACTCATTTGAGATCACAGTAATCACTCTTACACTGCCAACATTTTCAAGAGAAGTTCCTAAAAGATATAGCCCTAAGCCCTGCAAACAAGCTCATCTTATGTCCGATAATCAGGTGAAAAGTCTAAAAGACGTTGTTCATACATTTATTTCACACCATGAAAGAGTAAGCCTTCACACCTTTATTGATTCACTGAGGATGCTGTGGGTACATTCTGGAAGTTATCCATGATTTTAGTAGAATTAGTAAATTGATAGTCTTTTATTCTATCCCTTCTGCTTCTGTCTTGCCCTCTATTATTTTCACCATTATCCTCAGTACCACTGTAAGGACATTTAATTAGTTCTTCATTTCCAAATTTGCGCAGGTTTATCAGCAGTTCTCCCCTTACATGTGGTTTTCATTGTTAGGCTTTCAGTTATCCACTACCAACCATGGTTGGAAAATCTTACATGTAATAAGATAACTTTAATTACAGTATATTGTTATAATGGTTCTATTTTATTATTAGATGTTATTAATCTTTTACAACACCTGATTTATACATTAAGCTTTATTGTAGATATATACTTACAAGAAAAAACATAGTGTGTATAGGGTTCAATACTATCTGTGATTTCAGGTAACAGTGGGGGTCTTGGGAAACACTCCTTCAAATAAGTGATGACTACTGTGTTCTGCCAGCAGCCAAAGTTTGATGGATCTAAAATGCAAATCTCTTCATGCTACTTCCTCCTTAAAATCCTATGAGATTCTTTATTTCCTCTTTCCCTCTCCATTCCTTTTCCCACTCCTAATATCCACCCTTTTCTTTTGCTGCCCCCATCATCAGCTTTCTAAAAGCTCAAAATATAGAATTACTTTCACTTTCATTGAGCTGTGTTCTCAGGCTCAAGGCCTTTCTACAAGCTATTTCCTTTGCCTGGAAGGCAAACCAATTACACCAGAACCTCTGGGTGGAGCTCAGGCAAGAGTAGTTTTTAAAAGCTCCCTAGGTGATTCTAATGTACAGCCAAGGTTGAAAAATACAGTAACTTAAGCCTTTGTTTTATAGAGTAAGAAAACAGATTGAGGAATGCTATCAAATTCATCCAAGGTCACATGTCACACGACTCTGCCTTTTTTTTTTTTGTCAAAATGCTATATGCCATCATTAATTTCACTTTGAATATCAATAAGAGCCATAGACACTTTCCAAATTTTTTGGGGGGGAGAGGGAAGCAGGATTTATTGAGAGAACAGAAAAGCTCCCAGAGCAAGAAGGGACCTGAGGGGGTTGCCCCAAATTTTATTTTTTAATATTTTTTTGAAATGACAACTGAACCAGGGACACGAAAAAATTGCTTATACTGCTTCTCAGTTCTTGCCTTATTTAGAGTGGTTTCAAAGTCATCATTTCAAGTTGTCATTCTTATCTAAGATATCTATTTGGGAATTTTTGATTCTATTTATTCAAAATTTCTCTGCGAAAACCTACTTTCAAAAAGGCATAGCCCAGTAATAACTTCATGGGTTATCATAAACAGTAATATTCCTTATTTCAAACGTGCATTAGGGGCAGAGAAAAATTTTCTATGGAGCTTTTAAGATAAGGTTTGGCTAAAATATTCCAAAGAGAAATCTTTGCAGTTAAATTTAACTAACCTGTGGATTGATTTCTGATCTTTCCCCTGGAAACATCAGAAAAGACTCCAAAATTGGGTTCTACGTATGCTCCCCATTCCAATCCCACAGTCCTCCAAGATGAGACTTTCAATGCTTGAGGCCCAGAACTGCTCACCTCTTGTGTTGACATTTTATGCAACCTATTGTATCAAGATTATGGTGACCTGTCCTTTGACTATTCACTGAAATCTCTAGATATGATAAGGAGGGCTTCCTGCCTAATAGCCAATGGACTAGATCTGTAGGATTACTGGGGTGAGCTTTGAACCTCTCCTTTGACAAATAGTTATTTATCGGAAAATTAACCAAAGCTTCTAGCCAAGCACTTTAATAAATGGAACTATACAAAGGCACAGCAGAGAAGCAAGACATCAAAATATAATATGGCTTCATTAACTGTGATTTTGGTGTTCAACTTATGAAAACAACATTTTTTCCATCTTCTTTAGAATAATTAAGTTTTAAGGAAATACACCTAAACATGTTTTAAAAATGAGAAAATGTTCAGGCTAAAGGCATATAGTGCTAATTTACAGGATTAACATAATAAGGAAAGTGTTGTTATAGCTTGTATGAGTGTGTGTGTGTTGTGTGTGTGTGTGTGTGTGTGTGTGTGTGTGTGTGTGTGTGTGTGTGTGTGTGTGTATGTTTTGCTGCCCTCTACTGGAGATCAAAGGACAGATTCCAGCTTGATTCCAAAGTTCTTTGCAGCAAGGACAAAACAAAACACAGTACCCCAAAACTATAAACCCCAAGGGTCATATTTTTCTAAATCATTCCTATTTTTGTTTTAGAGCAAAATGGTTTAAATTCTTGCAAAGTTAGCCTTTACTAATATTTGTACCCTTAATACTGAGAGTTTCATTCCGAATAATGAGCCGTATTAACTTTATTTAGTTTTAGTTACATACATACAAAATGTTTTGAATACGTTTTTAAATATTTTACTCTCAAGATTTGGTAATCCCACATCTTCTGTATGGTTCTGGTCAATTGTTTGACAATTCCACTGACTGATTTCTTGTGTTTCATCTCATGTAATCCCTTTAATCCTATGAGGTAAGTATTATTAATATCCCCCACTTGACATATGATGAAACTTAAGCACAAAGAGGTAAATAAATTTTCTGAAGAATCACAGCTAGAAACAGAAAGTAAGGATTGGAACCCGGGAACTCTCACTACAGAAGCCATGTTCTTAGCAACTACACTGAAAGGTCTTGGATGTAACATGGTGCTAATGAACAACTAGGGTGCAAAAATAAGTTGCAGAACAAAATCATTCACCTGCTCATCCTTAAAAGTCAGTGTTGTTATAGGCTAGTCTTAAATTTGTCCCAGGACAAAACTATGTTGGGACATAACATACACCATGACAAATTCAGAAATTATTTCATCTTGAGATACTAATTTTAAAAGCAGAGATACTGAAAGTAAATATGATATATATTCCATAGGTTTTGTTGTTCTTGGGATTCCTCATGCTTTTCCTAACCTCCAGCCTCTGCTCATTTCATTATTTTTACATGGCTTGGTTATGCTAATGCCTCCCAACCTGCTGTTATCTGCATGAATCAGCTTGGAATGCCATAACAAATTATAGATTTAGTGGCTTAAACACATAAATTTGTTTTCATATGGTTCTGGAGCCTGGAAGCTCAAGATCAGGGTGACAGTGTGGTTGGGTTCTGGTGAGGGCTCTCTTTGATGTTGCAGAGAGCAAACTTCTCCCTGTGTGCTCACAAAGCCTTTGCTTGGTGTGCCCCTGGAGTGGGGAGAGGTAGATAAAGGAAGAGAGGAAGGAAAGAGAGAGCTCTTCCTCTTCTTACTTATCTGCCAGTCCTATGGGATTGGGAACCCACTCTTATGACCTCATTTAATCTTTGTTTTGAGTCAGAGTCTTACTCTATCACCCAGACTGGAGGGCAGTGGCATGCTCACAACCACCACAGTCTTGACCTGCGGGACTCAGATGATCCTTCCACCTCAGCCTTCCAAGTAGCTGGAATCACAGGCATGTGACACCATTTATTGTAGAGACGAGGTCTCGCCAAGTTGCCCAGGCTGGTCTTGAACCTGTGGGCTCAGGCAATCCTCTTGCCTCTGCCTCACAAAGTGCTGGGATTACAGGCCACAGCTTCCTCATTTAATCTTAATTACATCCTAAAGTTCTGTCTTCAAATATAGCCACACTGGGGATAAGGGCTTCAACATATGAACTGAGGGGAATACACTTCAGTTCATACATCATCTTATAAATTTCTAGTGTACTTTCTCCTTTCTTAGAAGAAATGTATTGAAATCACCTGGTTACTTACTTACGTCTCCTTAGCCATTGGTTACCTCAGGTCAGATTCTAGCTACATTGCCATTGTATCTCAGGTACAGTTCCTGGCACTTAGTGGCCATGTGGTAGATGCTGGTTGAATGAATGAAGAAATGATACCAATGACCATATTCTGCTTCTTTACTAGGTCTCAGAAGCAAATGTTATAATGAAAGCAGAGGTAATAGGATTGTTAGGCCTAAGCAGATACCTGGGGCTTTGTTGGAGACGTGCATGAAAAACAAGTCTTAAGTTCATTCAGCCACTAAACTTCATGGTCTTTACTCTCCTCCAAAGTCCTCATCAAATTGGTAGGATTTGCATGTCAATAAAGTTAAACATTGATCAACAGTCATGACAGGACTAGGAAGCAGGTGCCTGGGACTGTCCAGGGGAGAGTAGCACACCAAGTCAACTTGCAAGTTCTAATTTCAGATGAATGACTTTTTTTTAAGAATCAGGTAAACAATCGAATAAATCTAATAAATTAGATCCATTGAATAAATGATCAAGTGGTATGGATACTGTACTCAACAATCAGTTAAAATTAAGTATTAAAAAAAGACACTGCAATCAGGCCTGTACAAAACTTTATTGTACTCTGTATACCAAGCATGTAACAAAATTTTGAGCATGACAAAGATGAAATATCTCATATTCTGTTCCTTACAAAAGCATTAAGAACAATACACAAAGACTGCTCATAATATTTTAAAGTCTTAAAAATATCAAGACATTCTAGGATTTGTGGAGTTGTCTTTTCTTTCAACTAGAGTATTTATACCCATTAGCTTTGCTACAATGAAAATTAACATATATGAACATACACATATAATAAGTGAAATGAAAAATGGAGGCATACGACAAACATTCTTATTCATCAGTAAGTATGAAGGAAAAAGTCTTTTTAGTACTTCTGAACTTACATTTTTTTACTATATTATACAATGAAACTTTTTTCTAAAATGTTTTTAATGTTACATAATTTTGACCATTCCCAATGTAATTAGTACTCTTTCTTAGAATAATCATTCATTCAATTTTAGAATTTGAAAATGAAATACAAAACACAATCTTATTCAGAGATGATATTCAAAATATTGAACAAGAAGCTGTCCACTGACTCTTACTCCTAGGCACAGACGCTGGAGTCAATGACTGATATGGCAATATGGTCTATCCAGTTGAATATCAGCCCTGATCTTATTTCCAATGACCAGATATGTATTTTGGCTAATGTAAAAGCATGTACTATGAGATAAGAAACATGAAATTCACACAGACATGAAATTGAACTCAAATCTCTACTGCTGAATGTGAAATATTTCACAGTGACTAAAATCAACTGGCTAACAAGCAATGGTGGATATTTATATTCAACTTTGATTAAAACAGATGGACTTTACAAGAAACCCTAGAGATTTAATTAATGCTACTAATCTAATGACTCCAAATTACTGAGGAGCCTTTAAAATCAGTATATGTGACCGTTTATATATTTTTCCATAAGGAAAAAAAAAATAAAAACACCGAGGTACTTTAGTTTCTTTTCAAGGGATTACTGCTGGTTTTCTTCCTGAGATGCAAAAGACCACACAAGAAAAGCACCATGCCTAGGTTGCTGGATGAGGCACCAGGCACTAATAGTTTGGTCCTTTTCTAAATGGATCTCTTCCGACAATTACACTAAAACATAGAGATGGATCGCAGATGCCAGGGGGGCCTGGTTGCCCTTGGATTCCAGGTTTTCCATGATCTCCATCTTTGCCAGGGACACCTGGGTCTCCAGGAGGCCCTTCCTTGCTTATTCCAGGAGGGCCCTCTGGACCTAAGATGGGACATGGAAAATATGTGAACAGAGGACTTTGATTTTTGATGGTAAAATAGCTGGTTCTGTAAGAAACTTTAACTGCAAATAAAACCTCTTGAACATTTTACATATTTGCACTAATTAAAAAGAGGAAGAATTCTCTTGCAAATTCTACATGCTTTCCACTTTGAAAAGAAGCATCCAAAAATTATCAGTAATTTTTGTAAAACTGAGCTAAGCATATTAATATAGCAATGATGCTACTGATTAAGACATTGAGCTAACATTCTAATATTCCAATTTGTGAATTGTCCAAACTTATTTCTTGGTTTCAGCCTATCTTTGCCAATATCATTATAAATTAGCGGGTAACATATAGTGAAGCCAAAGCTCTAAAAGTCACTTCTGTGCAATAAAAATGAATGTTTCCATTATACATTATTTTTTTAGTTTCCATATCTAAATACATTATCATTATCATAGTGTAAGAGCCATCAATACACAGGGGTGTCACAGTACTCATTTGTCAACCATGGCCTGATTAGTTCAATTAACATGCTCAAAGAAACAAGAGTTAAGTTCGAATATTGGCCTCTAAAAGTTGATGATTCAAAATAACAAAAGCAAAATATTCAGGTTTTGGGAAGGAGCAGAATGATTTGGGAAACATCCTGCTACTCTACTTCCTGCTACTACTACTCATAAACATTTATTTAGCATTTAATTAAGATTATAGGTATTGTTCTAAGTATTTTACATAAGTAGTATTAAATCATTTGAGATGCCCAAAAGTCTCTTAAGTCAATAACACCTAAAATAATAATAAACACTCATTGAAAATGTAACAATTGACATGCACTATTCTGAAAGCACTACATATAGTAACTCATTTAATCTTTCAATAATATCATGATGCAGATAACATTATCATCCCTACTTTACAAATGAGGAAACTGAGGCATGGCAAAGTTAAATAGCACAGCTAGCAGAGGCTACTTAAGAGTCTACTTCAACATTGTTCTGCACTAACAGGGTGACTAAAATAATTCAAGAACTCTTCTATCAGTTCAAGGAGTGGATACAAGGCTGTCTAAACAATAAGTAAAAAATAATCCTGAATGATTCATGAACAGAGGATAATACATGAAAAATATTCCAGAATTTAGACCTCCATAAGTTAAATGTGACTCACTCAAAAGAAGCAAATAGAAGTCTGGGTTCCAAGTTATTCCTTTGCTTTTACTTTTTTTTGAGTTGGAGTCTTACTCTGTCACCCAGGCTGGAGTGCAGTGGCATACTCATGGCCACCCCAGCAGCGACCTGCTGGGCTCAGGCGATTCTTCCACCTCAACCTTCCAAGTAGTCGGAACTACAGGCACATGCTACCATGCCTGGCTAATTTTGTAATATATTGTAGAGATGAGGTCTTGGCAAGTTGCCCAGGCTGTTCTGGAACCCTTGGGCTCAGGCAATCCCCTCACCTTGGCCTCCCAAAATCCTGGGATTACAGGCTTGAGCCACCGTGTCTGGCCATGATTTTTCTGGAAGCAAAACGTGCAGCAACACTTATGAGCATATACTAATTCTTACCTGGGGGACCAGGAGGACCTTGTTCTCCAGGATACCCGAACCCTTGGCTTCCCTTTGCTCCATTTCTTCCTGGTAGGCCTACAGAGTGGCAAACATCTGAGTGAGCTTACTTTTCCTGTACAATTACTGCCTTTCAGACTGTTTCTTTCAAAGCAGTTAATATACACATTGAAAGAAAAATTGTCTTTTCAAAACTAGCTTGCCAATTTTTTTTATTACCAATGAGAAATCGAATTTTTGAAGCAATAATTTCTAAAATTATCAGTGGTCAAGATGCACAACTTAATGTGAAAAAGGAACGTGGTTTGGAATTATTAGCCTTTTGTGTTCATCATAGTTGTTCTTTTATTACTTTCATGAAACATCTAAATTGTTCACATACTATTAAACAAAAAAGAAAGAATTATCAACCAACATTTCACACAAACATTCTAGGCAAGGAGACTATTAGGAAGTTTGTTTGTAAAACTTAACTTTTCTTATAATAGAAAAATATTTTGAATAAAGGGATCATCCAGAAAGTGACCAAAGTCAAAATAAAGAAAATGGTGTCTGTGATTTTTTTTGTTGGTGGTGGTTAAATACCTTACTAGACTCAAGCAAAATGTCTAAGTGTATTGTCAACAATTTCTAATTTGTTACTTCACATGTTTATAATTTTGGACTTTCTCTATTTGAGAATATTATATAAAGGAAATAAAATAATTGCTCTTTAATTCAGCTGATAAAGTATTTAAAGACTTGGAGATTTACAATTTTCTTTCTTTCTTTTTTTAATCACGAAACAAAGTTAACTTTTGCCTACTAAATGAATATAGGGTAGGGACACAGAAGATGCCTTTTAAAAATTCATTTACTTATTCAAACAAATTAGATACCTTTTAATCCTTTGGCTCCTGGGCGGCCAGGGATGCCCATTAATCCAGGAACACCATCTCTACCTGGCAAGCCAGGAAATCCTCGGGGACCCTCTGGGCCTGTGGGTCCAGGGGGCCCAGGAATACCAGGGGAGCCATGCTGGGACTGGCAATGATCACAATTTTGAATTCTTCTACTCTGAAGTAAGACTGGTAGCTGGGCTTAAAAACAAAGAAATCCCACCCCTTATGTTTAAATGGTGAGTTCAATAATTTTTTTTTAATATGCAGAAAAAATTCTATGATTACTGAATAGGTACCTATGTCTTGGTCAATAATTTTACTTCTAGGAATTTAACTATGGAAATAGTCATCGCTATTGGGCAATAATTTTATTGGAACAATTTCTTAAAATGGGGGCAAAATGTGAAAGTGTCCCCTAAAAGAAATTAGTTACTTAAATTATAACCATCCATATTTATGGATTAAATTAATAAAAGCTATGCTACAAAAGAAAATTTAATTCATAGTGAAATAATGATAAATTGCTTTATTAAAAAGATTACAAGAGTATATACAATATCCTATCTTTATAAAAAAATTCATAAAAAAGAAGACAGGAGCTTTTAAATGTTGTCTATTCTTTATCCTACTTTATTGTCTACAATTTCTACCAATAATTTATATTACTTTTAAAATTTGAAAAAGACATTAAAATTTTATATTTGAGACTTACCTCTTAATACTTCAGAGCAAACTTGTCGAATAAATTGTTCTGAAAATTCTCTGCCCTGTATCAATTTATTAGGGGTTATAACATGTACAACTGAGTAAAAAGCAATGAAAATCTAAAAACTACAAAAGAAGCAGAATACATACAGGCTTCCCATCCAAACCTGGAGGTCCCTGAGAACCCATTTCCCCAGGTTGCCCCTTGGGACCTGCAGGCCCCATCAGACCAGCCACTCCAGATTCTCCTCTTGGGCCAGTGGCACCTCTGACACCAGGTTCTCCTTTTTCACCTCTCTAAAACCAAAATAAATCTTTCAAAGTTCTATTTAAATATTTCAAAATGCATAATTATAAAAGTATTAAGGATATCATCATGAATATACATATGTAAATATGTAAGCTATGTAAGGGATAACTGAGAAATGTTGTCATTAACCAGAAGGAAAATTTCATATCATAATAAATTGTCATCTATCTGTATAAATGAATATCCAGTCAGCCATACAAACATCCACTATTTACTGAGTATATTGTATAGTATGTTGTGTACTAAACAGTGCCATGGGTGTGACACAGTTCTATTTTTAGCAACTTGCATTCCAGTGGGACACAAACAGAAATAGACCATTATTTATTTTAAAGTATGCAGAAAAAATTCAGCTCCCAGTCTAAAAGAAGAACCTGTAGTATTGGCAAATATATGACATTTCATATCTAATTTGATTTAAATATGCATATTCTGAAAATCAAATTAAAAACATTTAATGAAGATGAAAGACATTTTCTATTTTTGAGTCAAAAGCTATATGTATATAGTATCGCAAACTCAAGCAAAAAGGACTGAACAAAAGGAACATAATAATGAAAAAACATACCTCTCCTTTTATACCAGGATGGCCTTGGAGTCCCTTTGAAAATTAATAGGAAAACATCTATAATAAATGTGCAAGTGACTGTACTAGTAATATGGCATGTACCTTTTACCATATATTTAATCAAACTTTAATTTTCAGTTCAAAAAAATTGATAGAATTAGTGACAGGATTACATACGTAAAGGACATTTTTTGTCTTTTTAAAGGAGCCTAATGACTAGGAAATATATTAACTGAACAATATAAAAATTTCAATTTGCTTAACTGCTTCATTCTCAGATACTAATATTTTCATATGCTGCAGGTCAAATTATGTTGTTAAGAATGGGATTCTCCTGAATTTCAAATATATGATTATTTTAATGAAAACAAAAACTCAAATCAGATTAAATATAAGGAATTTTTTTTTTTTTTTTGAGTTGAAGCCTCACTCTGTTGCCCAGACTGGAGTGCAGTGGCCTCTCCCAGCCACCGCAGCCTCGACCTGCTGGGCTCTGGCGATCCTTCCGCCTCAGCCTTCCAAGTAGCCGGAATTACAGGCATGCGCTACCACGCCCAGTTGATCTTTTGATTTATTGTAGGGATGAGGTTTCGCTGCCCAGGCGGGTCTCAAACCCGCGGGCTCAGGCAATCCACTCACCTCAGCCTCCCAAAGGCGCGGGATTACAGGCTGAGCCACCGAGCCCGGCTATATTAATTTTTATTCTGTGATTAAGATGAGTCTATGTTCCCAAGTTTACATTCTTAAAATTAAATTTTGATTGAATACTATTGAAAAGCATGGGTTAAAGTAAAAATGCCATTAAAATGACTAGTAAGAGACAAAACACTTATTTGTTCTGTGCATAAACTACTCACTGCAGGTAATTAAGGGACTGAAGCAGCAGTGTGATGTAAAATATGGTATTTTTTACCCAGTGGTATAAACACACGGAAGCCCAAGTCTGAAGTTCACTCATAATTACTAGTCACATCTGGATGGCTCTATTAAATTTTCATAGGGCTTCTCATAGTCATTCCAGTGGCATACTACAGAGAAATAGAACTCTCAGGAAAGACATTAACAATTTCCCATTTTTAACATTCATTATAGACTTGGGCTCTAAAATCAGCTTTAAAAAAGAGTAAACTTTACAATGAGTAAAGTTTCATTATTCAACTTTAAAATTAGAAATCAGTGTTCTACATTTCAACATGAAATTTAATATATAGCATTAAACATTGTGAAAACACAAAGAAGTTTGGGTTTTGGCATATCTTTTGATTGATTTTCATGTTTCTTAAACATGGCTATCCACATTAGACAAAGGAAAGAAAGAATTAGGTAAAAATCAGCATTTGTCAAAAAGAAAGGTAGATTCTAGAATTTAAATGTGAGCATAAAAACATCAAATAGTTTTTATACAAAAATTTATCAAGGAGCAAAACATTTTCTGTATGGCCATATTGAGTTTTCTTTCTAAAGAAATGCAGGAGTGATTCCTGCCAGACAAAATCCTACCTCTAGAGCCAATGAAAGAAGAAAGATAAAATAGTTAAGTTCTCAGTATGAGAGCTGAATTAGTGCTGAGACTGAAAACAGCTGTCATCAGAGAATGCATTAAGATGATTTTGTGAGAGAAAAATTCACTTGGACTTCACTCACAAAATGAATGCCAAAAAATTACACACGTGCAGCACTTGGTAGGATGACAGGTAACTAAGACTTTGTTTATTATAAAGAGTTTGGGTTGACTATTCAGCTGCTGAAAAGCAACAGCTGCTCTGGTCCCTGGGTATCCAATACAGGCTCAGCTCCTGGTGGTGTGAGATGTGGCTTCCAACAAAACTAGGGCAGAAGCTTTCTAGGGAGCCCAAATCCTGCTTTAGGAAAGTAGATACACTATTTTCCTTGAGAAGTGAGAAAAATCAAGTTAATGGAAACTTGGAGTAAGTGTCGTCGGCAAGCTAGTGAGCTTGCTACATTGTGAGTTCAAATTCCAAAAGAAATAACTACCCCCTCCCCTTTTTAGAAGGGTATTGTGAGTACTAATTTTTGGTAAACAGCCTGGGTGGTAGAGGTTGAATGGACAAAGGGATGAAGTCCCCAGGAGAACAGCTATTTATAGATATTGTGTGATTAGTTTAGAGAAACTCAGAGAGTGGTTCTGGTGTTGCCAGGGAGGAGAGTAGGGACAGAGCTGGTTGTGATAGCTAGTGCATTTGAGTTAAGTGCAGGGAAGTGAAAAGTAAAAGACATTTAACTGAACATAATTGTGCTCAGGCAAACTCCATTCACTTCTCCTCTCAGTCACCTGTGCTCTTATTGCTAGCTTCCAAATTCTCAACTCTTCTCAAGATAAAGCACTCCCCTTCCATCCTATGTTACAGACACCCGTGGGGCCCTATGCTTCCAAGCAGTCTCCACCATGGTGTCTCAGGTTCCTCCAATCAAGGGACACAGAGATCCCATCCTTAGAGATACTTCTACACAGTTTTATCATCACCAGAACTGGTGTAATTGCTGAATCCTTCTATTCCTACTCGGAGAAAGAGATCCACCCCATGGGAAGACTTACATCTTGGCTTGCCCTTTCGGTCCAGGCCACACTGGGACTGAGCTCAACACTTTGAAGCTGTAGGCAGCTAAGGAGCCAACATGCTACATAACCACCAATCACTTCTATGCTTTTTTTTTTTGGTCCACTGTGGTTCTGACTGAACTTACATGCCACATGGCAATTTCACTGAGACAACCTGATGAGAAGAGTTTAGTCAGGAGAGAAGCAAATCATTCTTACATGTTCCACAACATCATCCCTTATGATAGCATGCTAATAAGTCTCTAGAGTAGTATATTATATCTCTGAACCATCTAAAGGTGAACAATTACATTCCTCCAATGTGGCCCCAGCTGCTCACATTTCAAGAAGAAAATCAAGATGAACCAGCAGGTATGGAGGTACTGGGCAGGTATCTCTGCCCAGTAACTACTTTAAAAAATGAGTGGAATTTTCTGCCTGCAGTGATTATATGGCCAGAAGAGATCATTGAAAATCCAATTCCTCAGCTGCCAAGTTTAGTATGAGAAAGTTTAATATGGGAAACTGAAAATATAAAACAAATAATTAAAGAAAATCATGATCGCCACACCACCTACCTTTCTCAACCCTCTATGTTCAGAATGTGTGTTATACTATGCTTCTCCTCACCCATTTTTATTTGCAAGTAACTCTCTGTCAACATTGCCTAGTTATGTGACTCATTATTCTCATTATTTCATTTTTTATCAAAGAAAAAAAATACCTGCTGCCCTGGAATTCCTTGTCTTCCATTTTCTCCCTTTTGACCCTTTAAAATTTGATAAACATTAGTAATTAGTTTGCACACTTATGATGCAATCACATATACAATATAAATGGCATATTACCCTGAGGTCCAGAAGCAATGTCACAAAAGCATTCATGCAAATATGTAAATTATGTGACAGATGGGAAAGTTAGTCACTGAGAGAAAAATAAAAGAAGTAAAATCATCTTAATCTTCTAGTTAAAATAGAGACAAGGAACAAATTATTGATTTGGGGGGAATATGTAAATAATTCTAGATAATTAGTCCATTCTTCTAAGTCTATACTAGTAGCAAGAAAAATCATTTAAAAATCTAATGGATGTGGACATTTTATTAATGTCAATGTCAATATCACAATTATATTCAGTGTTGACTATGGACATGTGAGAAGAAGACCTCTTTAAATTTTTATTTTAAAAAGTTAAAATATACTGTTGTATTTTCATTAAAAAATTGAAGTTTTGTAAGTCAGCACAAATAAAAGAGACAAATTAATAAGATAAAGCATATTTGACCAGTCAATAAATATTTTTGAATATTCACCATATATAAGACACTATGCTAGACCCTGAAGCACTTCTTTATCCCTATATTAGACAGGACAATGAGCAGTTTCTAGAAAGACATATGTCTAGACAATATAATCAATAAGAGATCTAGTGACTAAATTTTTAATCACTCTTGCCTTTTGATTTACTTATCCACCTATATAAGTAAATTCCTGATATTTACTGAACAGCACCCACTTTTTTGGCACCTAGGGACACCAAAACAAAGATATTGGTCCTCCAAGTTGTTTACTGGGTAGTGGAAAAGATAAGCCATTCAATAAGAATGCTGAAAATACTGTCTGGTAAGCATATAATATATAATTAAACAGCTGGGTTGGATACTACTGGAACTTAGGGAAGGGCATCCAACAGATAGGACAGGGAATGTGACTTATGCTCAAGTGCATCCTTGAAGGATGAGGAAGAGGTCACCAGTTGGAGAAAGGATAGGAATATGAACCAAGAACAGATACAGGGGAAAGGTCCACTGTTTTTCTTGGATAAAGTAGTGGAGCTGGAGTAGATAAGAGTGGACAAAGTGGCAAGAGATACACTAAAGAGGAAGATTCAGTCAAACCAGAAGGCACTTTATGGGACAGACTTAACATGGGTGGGTGGGGCACCATTAAAGCTTTCCCAGACAGACCCAGCTAGCTATTACATGCTAGTAAGAGTGGGGAAAGGAAATAGAATGACCTCAAGGAGAATAGCTAAGAAAATACTGTAGTAGGTCAAAGAAATAAAAGATGACACAAACAAATGAAAAAATATTCCAGGCACATGGATTGGAAGAATCAACATTGTTAAGATGTCCATCCTACCCAAGATGTTAATCCTACCCATTAAATTACCAGCAACGTTCTTCCTAGACCTGGAAATGACAATACAGTAATTCATATGGAAACATAAACGACCACGAATTGCCAAAACAATCCTCAGCAAAAATTAAAAAATTAAAAAGCAGGAGGTATCACACTCCCAAACTTTAAACTTTATTATAAAGCTACAATATTCAAAACAGCCCGGTATTGGTTTAAGAACAGGCATATAGACCAATGGAACAGGATAGAGATTCCAGAAGCAAAACCTCAACTTCTCAACCAACTCATCTTCAACAAAGGCTCCACCACCAACCACTGGGGAGAGAGAACCTATTCAGTAAATGGTGCTGGGAAAACTGGTTGACCAAATGCAGAATTTTAAAACACCTAACACCATACACAAAAGTCAACTCTAAATGGACCAAAGACATAAATGTAAAACCTCAAACTATAAGAACCTTACAAAATGCAGGAGACACCCTTCTGAAAATTGGAACTGGCAACCAATTCCTGATAAAAACCCCAAGTGCCCATGCCATAAGAGGTAAGATAGACAAATGGGACCTTATCAAACTGACAAGCTTCTGCAAAGTCAAAGAAACCATCAAGAGAGCAAGAAGACAGCCCACAGACTGGGAAAAAGTATTTGACAACAGTATGTCAAAGGCCTAACATCTAGAATCTACAAGGAACTCAAACGTGCCAAAAAGAAAAAACAAAACAAAACAAAAAAAACAGCCCCATTACAAAGTGGGCAAAAGATATGAATAGGCAGTTCTCAAAAGAAGATATATGAGCAGCCAACAGATACATGAAAAAATATTCAGCCTCACTAGTCATCAAAGAAATGCAAATTAAAACTACACTGAGATATCATCTAGCTCCAGTCAGGATGACTATTATCAATAACTCAAAAAACAACAACTGCTGGAGAGGATGCGACAAAAAGGGAACACTTCTACACTGTTGGTGGGAGTGTAAAGTAGTACAGCCTCTGTGGAAGACAGTGTGGCAATTCCTAAAAGATCTAAAATCAACCTTCCATACGACCCCACAATCCACCTACTGGGAATATACCTGGAAGAACTCAAGTTCACGCTATAAAAAAGATACCTGCACAAGTATGTTTATTGTAGCATTGTTCACAGTAGCAAGAATATGGAACCAACTGTGCTGCCCTTCAAAAAAGACTGGATTTTTAAAATGTGGTGCATATACACGATGCAATATTCACAGCCATAAAGAAGGACAAAATCATGAACTTCACAGCCACCTGGATGAACTAGCATCTATAATACTGAGTGATCTTTCACAGAAACAAAGAACTGAATATCACATGTTCTCACTCATAAGTGGGTCTTGAACAATTATCGTAACACTCTAAGAAAAGGATTGGCAATAGCAGGAAACTGCTGGGAGGGTGGTCGGGAAGTGGGATTGACAGCAGTGGGAATCTTTTGGGGGAAGGTGGGCACACCTCATCAACAAGGGTAACTGCATAATAATCATTTGTATACCTAACCCTGAATTGTATTCCACATAAAAAAAAGAAAGAAAATACTGTAACCCAGGACTCCTGACAAGAAATGATTAGGATAATAGGGATGGGGAGAAGGAGCCAAATCCAAGAGATATTTAGGGCTGATCACCATGACAAGAAACAAGTAGGTAGTGGTTTATGGGGAAACATGACAATTTTGGCTTTGGACCTGCTGAACTTGAGTTGTCCACAAGGTATCGAAACCAAGAAGACAGTTGCAATAATGTGTCTAGTGCTCACAGACACTAACTTCACATTTATCTCATTCCTAATTACAAAATTAAATGAAAGGAATCATATTAAAATAATAAACAATTTTCAATTAAAATTGAAAACAACTAAATTTTTTCAAGCAGCTCTAAAAGATTTCATAAATGTCATGAAGAATAAATTCATGAGTAGAGACTGATAAAACTGTGAATTTAGCAGATTTTGACTATTTTTTCAATTTGAAATTTCCTCTTATGCTTCCAGAAATATTTTTGAAAATTTTCAAAGTATTTTTCTTTTTACTTTCAACTTATTCTGCATTGCAAAGCTCAGATAGTATAACTAGTATAAATGAGATGTATGATCTTAAAAAATCATTAAAATATTATCTGGATACTTTATTTGTAATTTATGGTTGAAAAAGTTTTATATTTATAAACCTAAAGTATTGAGAGACCAGCAGATATTTATCCAGATAAGAATATCACTGACTCAGCTAGCACCATCCTTATTCAAGGGTCAGTCTTCAGTGAATGGAAAAAAAAAATAACCCATTTCACAGTCACTCAAATTAATTGAGTTGAAACTATCTTTGTCTCCCAAAGTAATAACATGATCCTCCTTTTTTGCCTTTGTTGCTAAGATATTCAAATCTAAATGTCTTTCTAAATCACCCTCCCAAATATTTGTCTAAATATGTTTTATATTTGGCATTAATGGTTTTTTAAATCAAATTTTGTTTTTGCCATAAGCAATTTCAAATCATTTTTGGAATAAAACACACTGCATATAAGAAAACAAATACATATGGGAAGTATGTAATAAAATCTGTGTCTTGATTTTGTTGAATCATTTGGTTTCCAAGTTTTCTATGACAGTGAAGTGGTAAAGAATCTTAAAGTTAGTTCTGTTATTGTCTGAGAAGCTCAGTAGCAAAAAGAAAAATATCAGATTTAAAAATTAGATGTTGATGGTGAAACAAGAAGGAAACGGAAGATCAATTTAAGAATTAACAGTAACAAAGCCCTGATTTTATTGCTAAGCCAAAAAAGAAAAGAAAAAAGCAAGCAGGTAACATCATACCTGAACACCTTTTTCACCTTGATTTCCTTTGTCCCCCTGCAAAAAAAGGTAGTTTAATGTGTATCAGAATCTAGTATATTCTGTATCCTTTCAAAAAGTGTGTTTTCTTCAGCAAAGAAACACATAAGGTCTTATGCAAATTAATGTAAATTTCAGAGGTGCCTGTATATACAGAAGCTGACTCCTAACGCAATATCTGGGAAAAGAGCAGGAACACATTACATCAGGATGATATCCCAAAAGAACATGTTCTTGTGCTCCTACATTTGAAAGAAATTTTACCACAATATCTGTTTTACCAGAAAGATGAACACTTTTCTACATTGTTCACAATTTGAGGTTAAACAAACTAACAAGAAAGGACTTATTTTGACAAATTTTGTTTTGTAAAGTCAAACTGAGAATCTTCCATTAAGCTATTAGTAACCACAAGTTTATAGGAAACAATGACAAAGTAAAGCATAATGTTTAAATGATAGTTTAGAAAACACATGTTTCAAAATTGAGCTTTTGGAGAAAAATTCATATTCCATAATAATAAGTTTCATAGAACTTATCAGCTAAAAGGGAAATTGGAGACCAACTCTTACAACGTCCTCATTTTTGTAGATAATGGAACTGCAAGGTAAGCACTTGGCCAAAGTTAAACTTGGACACTTTTAAAAAATTTTCTTTCTATGTCATCACTTTGTATAATGTGTCCAGCTTTGCATTTACAAAAAAATAAGTATGGTCAATTTTTTAACAAGAAAATTCTCTTAAGTGCAAACATATATTAATGGTAGATTTATTTAACATAAAGAGTCCAACACTTAATTGCTGTTATGTGGAGTCATCTCTGTCTTAGCAAGTACTGCCTACTTCAGAACAAAAGTCTCAAGGATCATACTGTGTATAATAAGCTAGGGGTCAAAGAGTTAATATATAAGTAGGAAATAAAGGTGGAAAACACAGAACAAGGGACACGAAGATGGAGACTTTGTATCCGTTCCGGAATAAAAGTCAGTATATTCGTTTATAACCTGAAATATACATATTTGCAGCATCATACTTTGTAGACACATGGGCACCAGATGCTGCCTAAAAGCCACCAAACAAAAAATATATGTATAGTACTTATACACATACAGAGTTCCTCTCCATGACCAAAATAAGAAAGAAAGAAAGAAAGGAAGGAAGAAAGAAAGAAAGAAAGAAAGAAAGAAAGAAAGAAAGAAAGAAAGAAAGAAAGAAAGAAAGAAAGAAAGAAAGAAAACCTTGTGTTGTCTTTTTTCATCAAAACATTTTAAGTGAGTATATTTGATTTGTATTTTAAACTCCTTAATTTTAAATTAACTTCTATGAAACATAATTATTTCATAGGAAAGGCATTTGTGGTCAAACATTTTGGGTGTCATTCTTATCCTTTCGGACTTCGGACTTAGTAAGAGTGGTATTCATATGTTGGTAGGAATGCTTGATATTGGGTAATTTTCCCCAAAATAATCTTAACTCACCTGCGCTGACTAAAAATATCACAGTTAACAAGATATTACTTAATCGTATATTTATATTTTCTGATCTGGATTCCTCTTCTAAAGTCTTAATCTAGGAGACAATATCCATGCAGAGACATAAAAGATGCCACAGTTATTAGCTCGGGTCTTGAACACATTATGTACATACCAAATATTATCATTAAAAATATAACCAGTTCTACTATGCCAGTTTCACAAAAAAGAAAACTGATATGTAAGTGACTGGTTAAAAGTGAATTATAACCTCATCAACAAGGGTACCTGCATGATCAATGTTTGTATACCTAACCCTGAAATGTACCCCACATCTTTATAATAAAAATTTTTTTTAGAGTGAATTATATATGCTACCCAATGCATACCTTTTTCCCTTGAATCCCAGGTAAACCCATGTATCCTGGTTCTCCTGGGGAACCCAATGCTCCTGGTTCTCCCTAGACAACACAGAAATTCTGTAAAGATTACAGACCTACTGCTTATGAGAAATATCATTTTTATTCCAACAGAACATCTCAGATATAAAATAGATGGTTAAAAATGTGTTGAAAGACTATAGAAATAGTAAAGAATAAAAAGTTCGCTGAAATCTCAGTAAAATTTCTTATATCTTGTATTATCTCTATCTTTGCCAGTTGAAAAATCCATGTTTACAAATTTGTAAAATATTTAGTACTTTATAATTTCAACAATAAATAATAAAGTGGTAAAATGAAAATAAGCATTTCTTGTTTATCTGTTTATTAACAGTTTCTCTTTCTGCTCGAAACTGCTTTTTCTCATATAGCTACTTTAAAAAACTTATTTCCTTGTTACAAAACTGATAAGCAAACAGAAATAATATAAATTATTGAAAATCTTCTTACCCTGTACTGTTTTTATTTTGCTTTATATTTTTCTGTAACTCTAATTCACAAACACAGACACATAATTTAGTTACTAAAACGTGCTATGTTTATATATACATTATAGTATATCATTTAATCTCAAAATATATTAATATTTTAAAGTTCTTTATATGCCATTACATATTTTATAATATGATTTTTCATTATGGAAGAGTATTTAGCTCTATTGATTTACTGTATAGTATTTAATAAAGTTCTACTGTTAAACATCACAGTTATCACAATTTTTTTTTTCTTTCGGGTTGGAGTCTCACTCTGTCGCCCAGGCTGGAGTGCAGTGGCATGCTCAAGGCCACCCCAATGTCGACCTGCTGGGATCTGGTGATCCTTCCGCCTCAGCCTTCCAAGTAGCCGGAACTACAGGCGTATGCCACCATGCCTGGCCAATTTTTGATTTATTGTAGAGACGAGGTCTCTCCAAGTTGCCCGGGCTGGTCTCAAACCTGCAGGCTCAGGCAATCCACTTGCCCTGGCCTTTCAAAGTGCTGGGATTACAGACTGAGCCACCAAGTCCAGCCACAATTTTTATTTTAGTAAGTAATACTGGAATGAACATACTGGTAGCTAAATTAAATTACATTTAATATTCTTCTTTATATCTATAAAATATTATTTTCTTAGAAATACATCCTTGAGCTTTTTTCAGTACAGAGCCTATTACATGAGTTATCTTAATTCAGTTTTCCACTCTCCATCATCCTACAAAAATATTCATTTCTGAAATAATTTTTTGTAAAATACTTAAATAAGTTCTTTGTAAGCACATATTAACAAAGCATTGACATTATGTAGAATATATTTGTAAGAGATGAAATGTAATCCTGAACATACTTCTTGGTCTCTTGTTTTGTTTTGTGTTTTACCATTAGTCTAAAACTCTATCACTTTAACTAAAGACCATTCTCTCTTGTGAAAATTGAGTTTTATTCTCTTTGTTCATTGTACCCTCCCCCTAGCTATTGAATATTGAACTAGATTTTCAAAGACTGAAAGTAAATTTAAAATCTCCTTGAAATAAACATCAACTATTTGGTTTGGAGGAAACTGGTGAAAACAATGGCGAGTTCCACACCAAAGATGAAAGTCCCATTAATAACCAAACAAAGGAACACTATCATTTGTTTTTAACTCATTAAGAGAGGTATATTTACTAGATCACAGAATATGTCCACACTGGCATAATATTTTACCATTTCTAGAAATATCAAGCCAAATTTTATTTTATGTCTTTATTATTCAATGCCAAACTACCTAAAAAAACCAGAAATGAAAGGCCATATTGACCATTTCCTTTTATATAACTTAATTTTGTGATAAAGATAACCCTTAATCTCATGCATCTTGTTTTATAGGATACAAAATGTTAATTTTCTAAAATAATGAGAGAAATGTAACTTCTAAGTACCTGGAAAATATTTCCAAATGCATTAAATCACAATTACCTTAAGTCCTGAAGCTCCAGGTACCCCTTGAAGTCCAGGTTCACCTTTGCTCCCCTATCAATACAGCAAAAACACTTGAATTTTAAAAATTGTCATAATATGTCTAATATAGACACAAGAGAATATACTGAAAATAATTTTTAGGCTAGACTCAGTGGCTCATACCTGTGATCCTAGAACTTTGGGAGGCCGAGGTGGGAGGATTGCTTGAGCCCAGGAGTTCTAGAGTAACCTAGGCAACATAGCGATACCTCATCTCTACAAAGAATTTAAAAAATTAGCCAAGCCTGGCGATGGTCGCCTATAGTCCCAGCTACTTAGGAGACTGAGGAGAGAAGAGTTCAAGGTTGTAGTGAGCTGCGATCATGTCACTGCACTCCAGCCTGGGTGACAGTGAGTCCTCAACTCAAATAATAAAAATAATAATAATAATTTTTACATGTTTCGATTTCCAGTTGTTTGAAACAACTCTATACATTAAATCTATTTACTAAGAAAAATACTTTTAAGCAAGGAAGTTAGTCCACACATTTATAAAGCTCTCAAAAAGTTCATGTTAAAGCTAGTAGCTTCAAGTAGGAGCCAGCACTATTAAGTTCGGTCTCCACACTGCACAGGTGGGAGCCATGTACTTTTACAGCGTCCTCTGGTTTGAAATCCTCATCATTGTCTTGTTTTAATTTCTCCGTATGACTTACTTTTCAGCATGCTATTCAAGGAAAGAAAATGCACTTCAGATGTACAATGGCTTTTTTGAAGACATATGAATCATAAAACGTTTAGTTTGTTTTCTTTTTCAGGATTCCAATGTGGTCCTTTCCAATAGATGGAAACTTGGAGAACAAGAGCAAGTTGACAGAGCAAAGAATGGAATATAGAAAAAGAAAATTGGATATAAAAAGAGAGAACAAGCCTGTTGGCTAATAGGAGAGATTGTCAGGTGTCGTTCTGGTTTTCAAATACCTTGAAACCTGAAATCACAACTCAATGCATGGCAAAAGTCTATAATTAAATAGGTCAGTGTAACACTTAGAGAGGAGGACAATGTTTACCCACAGTTAACTTGGGGCCACTAATAAATAATGTAAAACAACTTCTTTTTCAGCTTTTAAGAAGTTTTCTAGGCTGTTCATGGTAAGAAATATGTGAATGTAGCATTGGATTTTAATTAAAGCATTATGGTACCATAGAATAATGGTTCCTTGAAATTTCTAATTTTATAAGTTATCAAGTTAAAACTCATAGACATAACTTGAAAGTTAAATGACTTGATAATATTAATATATCTTAATATCATTTAGACAATACTTTTAAAAACTGAAATAGTAAAGTAAGCAAATTAACGTTTCAAAGGTTATTTTTTAAAGTATTGTAATCTAAATGAGAAGTTTTCTAATGATCTACCACAGTTTCAGTCTTATCTTTAACCTATTTAATACTTTTTTTTGTCTTACCCTAGAATTTCTACCAGTGATATTGACAGTGCAATGACATATACAAATACAGTTGACAAACATATAATCAACAGAACTGGCAGAAACAAGCCAATATGGAGGTCAGTAAACTGAGACCCATGGGTTATATTCAGCTCAATGCTGTTTTTAAAGCAAAGTTTAACAAGAACACAGTCACCTCTCCTACTCATTCATTTATATATTGTTTGTGGTTGCTTTTGCACTATAATGGCACAATTGAGAAACTGCAACAGAGACAACATAACCCTAAAAGATTAAACATTTACTTTCTTGTCCTTTGCAGAAAGCTCCCAACACCTGAGCTAATATGTTGCATGAAAATAAACTGAAAGGTTAATTGAAAATATTATATTGAATAGACATTTTTTAACAACTTGAATTTATTATATTGTATTGTATTTTTTGAGTCAAGATCTCACTCTAATGCCCAGGCTGGAGTGCAATGACATGATCACTATTCACTGCAGCCTTGACCTTCTGGGCTCAGGCAATCCTTCTCCCTCAGCCTCCTGAGTAGCTGAGACTACAAGTGCAGTCCTGGTCAATTTTATTATTATTTATTTGCTGTTTTATAAAGATGAGGACTCCCTATTTGCCTAGGCTGGTCTGGAACTTCCAGGTTCAAGCGCCTCCCACCTCAGCCTCTCAAAGTACGGGGATTATAGGCAAGAGGCACCACACCCAGGCCCCTTGAATCTATTTTTAACAAGATAATTGCACAAGCATAAGATGAAGAAAAAAAAAACTTACAGTAGCACATATAAAAATAAGCTGTGATGCTAGAAACACCCACTTGTCTACCCAGCCAGATCAGCAGAATTTACTCAAGTGGCAGATGCCACAAATTGTTCTAAAATATCGTATGGAAAATCCAGCAGAATTAATTGACCTCCAGCTCAGTGTGAGCCAACAGTGTGATATGGCTAATAAAAAAAGCTGATGAAATTTTAGGCTGCACTCTTAATAGAGCATCCAAAAGATGATGGGAGACCTCATTGTCCCTTGTTAATAAGGGATATTGTCTTAAAAATGGCCTTGAGAAATTATGAAGAACTTCCACTTAGCAAGTCCAGTCAGTCAAGGGTTTTATACTAACTCTGTGCTCACCTATAGCTGCTGGAGTCCACAACACTCCAAGGTTCCACATTGGTCTACCACTGATGAAAAAGCAGCTACTTTTGTTTAATCATTGGACTCCCATAACATTTTCTCCTATTTTTTTTAAAACACTTTAGAAATTAAAAGTTGAATAGATTAGGTCATCTACTCATCTTGTCAGCCAGGCTCTATTCCTCTGGGACAATGTCTAGTCAAAGTCTGAATGCTTCCAAAACAGCAATTCCATCATTTTCATTTGGAAAGTTGTTCTAGAATCTATTGTAAAATATTTGAAAGTAGTTTCCTGATTTGGTCCTTTGGTTAACAAAGAAAAAAAATAGTTCTCTTAGCATAGGATTCTATATATTAGAGAATGGTCAAATCATGATATTCAGAGTTTCAGTTCTACCTTGAGAATACCTAACCTGACATCTTAAATATATTTTTTAAGATCTGAAAGTAAAGATATTATGTTACCTTACCCACGGGCCTATGGGAGTGAATGCATAACAAAATTTACAACAAGGCATTTCTCAAATAAAAATACCAAAAAAGGGACTAAGCAGAGTGTGTTATCCTCATTCGTAACTGTTAATGCTCTAGAGTGGTGGTTTTGGCTCTGAGCTCTATAGAGCTCTGAGTATTCCTTGGTGCCCTCAAGGCACCTAAAAAGTAGAAGGTGGACCTGCAGCAAGGGATGCTGGACCCTTTCCAGCTTAAACCAGATGTGTTTTACTTTAGTCTGTTTCTTATGCTGAGCTTTTGTCTAAGATTTCATTCTCACAAGTGATTGTTCACATAGTGAAGGTCACATTCTAAATAAATCAATGTAGTAGTTAAATTTTCCACAAGTTACAAATGGCCTCTATGATTGCGCAAACTTCTCAATCTTGTTAATTTATATTTACCTTAGCTCCTGGTGTTCCAGGATGACCTGGTGAGCCAGTGCTTCCCATCAAGCCCTACATATTTAGAAAGGAGTTTCAAGGCTAATTTAGAGAATAATATTAAATCCATTTCCAAACTATACATTCTCATGGTAATTAATCCACTAAATTATAATACAATATTTGGAAAATTTACCTATACATATCCAAAAAAGGATAACAAAAGTAAACAAAATCAAACTATGTAAGACAGCATTAAGGCTACCAAAGACTTCATAATTCCGTTTCTTCAAAAACTTGCAAATACCAAAATGACTGAAGAGTGAGTAAAAGAAATATGTAAAGAAAAAAGTTTATTTTTTTACACTCTTTTTTTGGTCATGATGGCGAAGAATGTTTCTTTATAGATGTTATCTTGATCGGCATTATTTACAATTTCTATTATCTTGAACAATATTTTTAAAGGGCTACAGTCTGATAAATCTCTGAATATAATAATCTCTCATAAAATAAAAAAGGCCATATTTCTAACCAACTATATGATTCAAAAGACAATGATAACTACTCTATAAATTAAACCTGATTTAATTTAGGTTCTACTTTATATGTTTATTTATATGTGTATCATATAAATATATGATGTATATGTGTGTCATATAAATATATGATGTATATGTATAAATATATATATAAAGTAGAACCTAAATATATACACATATATTCATATATAAAACAATTGGCAGAGAAAATGTGATAAACAAAAATATTCAATTACTATCATCAGAAAACAATCTAAATATGAAGCTCAAATTGAAACAATTTGATTCATAGATTAAAAGAAATAACACTTATAGTAGTTAACTTAAAAATGCTTTGGAATCTTGTACACACACTAGAATTTTCATAATTTTTATTATCAATTTCATATGTCCCTTTCTCTCCTAAAGCTCCTAAAATAACTTGCTCACTAATTTAGGACTTTCCTATACTACCTCTTCTGAACATGTTATTTCTCATTAGTGTAATCAATTTACAAATGTTTTAAAAATGAAAAAGAAATATTCACTGATATTTAGACTTTTTCATGGTACTTAGTTGTTCGGTTTTTTTTTTCATCTAGAATATATATTTAGCAACTTATCTAGTTAGCGTCCTTGACCTTTATTTGAGTTGTCAATTTGAGAATCTGGAGAAATATTTACTTCTTTAGGAAAAAAAACATAAAATTTTTCATACAAATGAATGGAATTTATAGACCCCCAAAATCTCATTGCTATATACCCTACAATTTTGTGAACTCTCGAATATGAACTTTTAGTATGTAGTAAGAACATTTCAAACATTTTGATAATAGTGACATTAACATACAGGCATCCCTGGAGCTCCTTTTTTTCCTATTGGTCCTGGAGGCCCAATTTCTCCCTAAAAATAAAACACAGATCAAATTTTAAAATTCTGAATTATCAAATAATTTCCAGAAATTTTCTGCCAAAGCATGATGGAATGAAAATTCAATACCAATCAGTTCAACTTTTCTCTGACTTCTCTTCCATTACTGTAATAAAGGAGTAAGGCATGATAAATTTTTTAAAAAATAGGAATCTAACATCTTAAGGATCTTGGCCTATGGTCTGAGGAATTACTGTAAAAAAATTTTTTTGTGAAATCTCTAGTGACATTTGCCATTCTTTCAAAGGAAGACCTACCAGCTCGGATAGAGTTGGGAAAGTAAACAAAACATCAAATGAAAACTTTTCATATTTACCATAGTTTAAGAGATATGATAGTAAAAACAAATTAATTTTTAAAAATAGGGTAAAAAATAAGCTTCAACTTCTGAGACTGTGGCTGACTAGGTACTCTAAGGAATCCTCCAAATCCAGAACAAAAAACAAAACAAAACAAAAAAACACCCTGGAAAGGAAATCCTCTGTGAGAGAGTGGTAGTCTTCCAAGAAGTAGAAGAAATATTCAAAGAGCCCTAATTTTAATAAAATATACTCTGCGATGGAGTTGTAAGTATGAGAATTTGGAAAAATGCAGAAATCTTGCCAGAGGGAGAAAGAGCCAAGAAATGTGGGAATATCTGAGGGTGCATCCTCAGCTTTTGGGAAACAGTGTGGGCCAGCCATAGAGGGAGGCAGGAATCTTCAAGACCTATGATGAGTCAGGACTTTCAAAGGGAACCGAAGTGGTATCCATGGCTACCAGCAGTGGGCACATCCTTACTCCCCAGTTAGGCTGACAGGATTCCCACTAAATTAAAATAAAGCAATGAGCTCACAATTAACAATGAAGAAACAGGGGACAGCAAGCCACACAAGTGAGAATAACAGATAATAAATAAGAACAACAATAACAAATAATAAATTGCAGATATTTTAATTGTTAGAACCAGAATTTAGTACTATGAGGTTTTTAAAAGTTAAACATGAAATTATCAAAAGTTAAAAACAATCATGAAAGACTTTTGGGATTAAAAATATAGCAACAAAATGACATGGCTTAAAAAATTAGAACCTCTAAAAATTAAAAAGGTGATTGCTTATCTTTCTTATAAAAATCAGTGTTGGTGATGTAAACAGATTAGACACAATAAAAAATAAGTAAAATAGAGTATAAAAATCTAAAAAATTTTAATCTAAAAAATTTTAGGTTTAAAAAATCTAACCAGAAGTTAAGACAATAAAAAATAAAAACAAATGGTAATTATAAAAAGCGAGTATTAAATTAGAAGAAATAAAATATTTCTAATCATAATACCACAAAAAGAAAATGGAGCAGAGGTAACATGAAGATAAAGGCTGACTGTTTTCTAGAAGTAATGGAAATAATTTCACAGAGCCAGGAATCAAATTTAATTCCTAGCAAGACAAATAAAGCAAAGTCCCTATGTAGACACATGATAGTAAATTTTAAGAACACTAAAAACAAATAAAATACTTGAAAAGAATCCAAAAGGACAGGACAAATCACTTACAAAAAAATGATAGTTAGAATGTCAGTAGAGTTTTCATGGTTAACAATGGAAGTCAGAAAACCATAGAAGAAAATCTTCCATTTACTTAGAGAAAATAATTGTTAATCTTGAGTTTTAGTCTACAAAATTATCTCTAAAGAAAAGGGTAAAATAAAAAGACTGTAAGTAAAAACTAAAAGTTTATTAACATGATATCTATATTAAAGGAACAATATAGATCAGAGAGAAGTAAATGATCCCAAAAGGATTTCTTACAGAACAAAATAGAAAAGTAATCAGGTAAAGCTGGATGCACATATTGTAAATCCAGATTCATATCATCTATGTAAGACAACAACAGAAACAACAATTACTTATTTGTAAGGTCAAAATAACAGCTTCTAAAATTATATCATATTTGAACAATTAATTGTTACCATAAATGTTATTAAAATGTATTCTATTTAGACAACAATGAATCATCACTTTACTTTTTAATGAGCATATCCAGCCAGTTTGAGACCTTTTAACAAATTTGTTAATACTCACCTTTTGGCCCATTAATCCTTGGTTTCCAGGAAATCCTGGAATTCCCTAAAAAATAAAATAGATATTTAATTTTTTTAAATTTAGACTTTATCATTAAAGAAGACTCAGTTATGATTGGAATTTAACTTGTAAATAACACATATTTTCAAACTTATGATTACACACCGATGTGTATAATAATCCAATTTGAAAAAGAGATAATTTATGAGATACAGCTTTATAGAAATATCTACTAATATTTCAATCTTTCATAAAGAAACTATGAGGAATTAATCTTGGTTCTACTTTGAGTCCAATGTAAGTCATAAAATAAGTAGTTTATTTTAACACATTCACATATTACTTATAATGAATCACAAAAGAAAAACTGTCCAACAATACAAGTTCAGATTTAGTATAACAGTTCCACAGGCCCTCACAATCAAATAACCTTAGCAATATTAATTAAACTAAATATTTTACTCCAAACTGAGCCTTGAAATAACCAGGAACCTAAATATTTATGTACAATATGGCAATATTTTCTCCTAATAATTTCCTTATTGATGCAATTATGTAGAATATGAAGACTACAGTTTGGGAAGAGACAGAAAAGAAAAAAAAAACATAGAGAACTCTTTTACGTGGTGCAACCCAAATGTATAAGTCTCTGGCAACATTCAGAGAAAATTAATGTTAATTTTATCAAATTAAGAATAAATTTAACACATTTATTAGTTGGAAAGCAATTTTTTGTCAGCCTTTCAATAAATTTATCCAAAATTATCATCAATCACCCAAAATAAACAGTGATCATACTAATCAATTTTCATTTCTAATTCAATTTTCTCAGTTCTTTCCTTGCTGTTACTTCAGCTGAAATAATTAACATTTATTTTTATACATATGTATTGACTCTGAAAAACAAGGAAATTGGACTCCATCAATATGTCTTTGAAAACCCTCTGCATCATCAGTTTTCAAAAACTAACAGAACTCTCTAGCAAATCAGGGCAGGTGGGTACATCTGTCACTGTCAATGAGATCAAGTATGTTCTACAACAGGGATAGTGTGCCATTATTTTTATTTTTACATCTTGAGTTTATTAAGACAACCCTTATCATGTGATATGCTAATCACAATTTTAGTGCAAGATACAAGCACATAATTCTAGTTTTAAAATCTAAAGTGGAATCATACATTGGAATTCAGTTTGATTCTATTTTGCTCAATTCAGTGTGCCATCTTACTACATCTTTGTAGAAAACAGAAGTTGTATATGAGCAATGACTATCAAAAAAGGGCTCACATCTACTTGAAAAGACAAGCCGTCATAAACATATCTAAAGAACAATATAAAAAACAACATAAATACTTTAAAGTAACAATATAAAAGATGAGCACAGTACACTCAGTAAAACATAACACAGAAGGGAAATCATTGAATTGTGAATCTAAAGAAAACAGACGGAAATGAATTATATCCTTCTCAGGCAGAAAATGCATATTCTCAATGCAATCAGTTAAGATAAATAGTATTCAGAACAAATGCTTCCATTTCAATGGGCCATCACTTGGTATGAAACCATGCTGCAACCTCCTCCTATTTGAACACACACATGCATGCATGCAATTCATTATAAGTTTAGACTAAATTCTGAATTTAATTAAAATGTCTGTAAGATCTTATCATTGTTCTATGCTGAAAAATGGGTACAGTTCTGTTAATGCAATGACCTTGGCCCCCAGAATCCCCAAAATGGACATGTAATTGCCCATGATACTGTCACATCTGAAAAGCTGGATTTCTTGCTGCAGAGTCCTTTGTTACTTAAGTTTCCATCACAATTCAAGTCCCCACATACTTGCACAATCCGTTATGTTAGTAGGGGTTGATTACAGACATCCCAACTCAACTTCTCCTTCTGAAGCCAAACCCAGTCAGTGTCAGCAAGCCACATCCTTTCCCTGGGGCTACGTTTCCATGAACAGCATCCTGGCTTCCAATCCCCAGGAGCCCTAAAAATCCCATTTCCCCACATTTCACTTGCTGGATTTGATTTGACACCCTTTTATCTGAGTTACTCCAATATTGAACTTGATCTATATTAGCGCATAGCCACAAATCTTACATTACTTCAAAATCAGATATTTTTTGGGGGAAATTCCAGACTAGAAAAAAAATAATATTTTTTTTACTGTGTATCCTTTCACGTTGGTAAAAAATTAATATGCATTTCATAGATATAAAAATAAGTCATAATATCTATGTACAATTATGCTAGGAAGTATTACTTATTTCACAAATAACAGGAAAAATCTTTAAATACTATACAATATTAAAAACAAAATATAAAACTGATTTATCAATTCTTAAGCAATTCTTAGCAAAACTAATATAATACCACAAGCATGCATAGAATAAAAGGCTATTGAGACAAAGGTTAACCAGAATAACTAAAATCATTCAAAGCTACATTAGTTAACATAATTCCCCTAGATAATATTTTCCTGGACTCCCCAAATATATATTGAAATTAACTAAATTTTGCCAATTTTATGTTAGCAGTAATATCATTTAAAACCATTTGAAAGTTACCAGTGTATTGATCCAAAAATATTTAGTGACAATTATTTTACAGAGCAAATGATTTTCCAAGGAAACTATTTTATATTTCACTTTCTGCCTATGTGGTTTTGGGTTCAGGCAACTGTGACAATGTGTAAGTAAAGACAGAAACAAGTATTTTATTTGGTAAGAGTAAATGGACATATTTCCTTCACTTTTGTGATTTCGGTTTGGATTTGAGGAAGAGCAGAAAGTCAACTGGAAAAACCTGCATAATATTGTGGTAAAGAATGTTGACATGAAACAATGTTCTAGAAACTTCTCTGTAACCATGTAAACCATTGCTGTGTAACAAACAAGTTATTAAGAATAGAAATACATACTTTTAGAATAAAGGGTTTGGCTTCTATTTCCTAGAGACTACTTCATAATGAAGGAAATGTGTCCATGATACATTACTTAGAAAAGACAAAATATCACATTATACTTTCCCACATGCAGTGAATACATTTACTTTACCCCCTGAAATTGGACCATCTTGGATCAAATCTGCTTTAAAGTAATGCAGCATTTTCAACGCACTAAAAGCAGATCTAATCCATTAATGGTATTTCTATATCAAAATGTTCAACCTAGGAGGTGGGATTGACAGTAGTGGGAATCTGCCTGGGAAAGGGGGGGCACACCTCATCAACAAGGGTACCTGCACAATGAATATTTGTATACCTCATCCTGAATTGTACCCCACAATTTTAAAATGAAAAATTTAAAAGTTAAAAAAAAGTTCAACCTTTCCATACAGTGCTAGAGATATTTAATATCACACAGTTATCAAAATATTAGAAGCATATTACTTATTTTCTTCTACTGTATCAAGAAGTAATTTGGTCACTCCTAAAGATTCAATGAAGGAAAAACTCGTAAGTTCAAAGCATCATTCTTATTAGCTAAAAAGATTACAACATAATTATCAGTAAAGCATGTACTGTACTATGAAATAGTTAAAAATGTAGATGCTAAGAGTCAGTCAGTCAATTTCCTTCCAGCCAGTTATTTTTATTTTATATTAGCCCAGTCCCTGGCATTTAAGAAGGCAAATGTGCCGGGGTCGGTGGCTCAGCCTGTAATTCCGCGCCTTTGGGAGGCTGAAGTGAGTGGATTGCCTGAGCCCGCAGGTTCAAGATCTACCTGGGCAACTTTGTGAGACTGCATCTCTACAATAAATCAAAAATTAGCCGGGCGTGGTAGCGCACGCCTGTAGTTCCAGCTACTTGGAAGGCTGAGGCGGAAGGATTGTCAGAGCCCAGCAGGTCGAGGCTGCGGTGGCCGGGAGCAGTCACTGCACTCCAGTCTGGGCTACAGAGTGAGATTCCAACTCAAAAAAAAGGAAGGCAATGTTTTTATATTATTTTTACTACCAATGACATTAATACCAATAATCATTCATTTCACACATTGGGTGTAGGCAGGGTTGAAAGAATGTTCAAAGTATTGGGAACAGTACCGATTCAAGGAGTTTTACATTAACCCTGCTCATGTAAACAGTAGATGATGAAGATTCAAGATGAAAGAAGTAAGGCATAGTCCAGTTGGGAAGTGGGAGGAGATTGAACTTATAAAAAGGAATCATGTGTCTCAAACAATGGAAAAATATAAGATGCAGAAACTAGTAAACAAACAGGGACCAGCAGGTCAAGAAATCAAGGAAGTAATACCGATACCTAAAGACAGATTTCCTTAGTCTGTTCCAGCTGCTATAACACAATGCCTTAGAACTGGGTAACTATTTAACTTGTGAAATCTCTGTATCCCCATCTTGTACATGGAGGAAATGATAGACCCTACCTTATAGAGTTGGTACATTTTATCAGTTAACTTTCAGAAGTAAAGTCCTGGCACCATAATGAACAAATATTTATAACTGCCCTTTCACAGCTCCTCTCTGGCCTTTCTACCATGCCTTTCCTAAGATTTCCATTGTATGAGGGATAACTCTAGCAACCTAAGATTTCCCACAGTGGGAGCACTAAGAGTAGACATTGCCCCTCACTCACTATCTCTTGCCTTTTCACATTTGGCTAACCTTGATTATAGACTAATACCATAATGTCTAATGCTTTTTAAATATTTTAAAAATACTTTTTTGCCGGGCTCGGTGGCTCAGCCTGTAATCCCGCACCTTTGGGAGGCTGAGGTGAGTGGATTGCCTGAGCCCACGGGTTCGAGACCCGTCTGGGCAGCGAGACCTCATCTCTACAAT